GGCTTTAGAAGCTTCTGATAGGATAATTGACATCATTTGAGTCAATTGGAGTTGTACCTGTGGATGTATTTCAAGGCCTACCTTCAAACTCAGTGCCTCTTTGCTTGACATCATGGGAAAATCAAAAGAAATCAGCCAAGACCTCAGAAAAAAAATTGTAGACGTCCACAAGTCTGGTTCATCCTTAGGAGCAATTTCCAAACGCCTGATGGTACCACGATCATCTGTATAAACAATAGTACGCAAGTATAAACACCATGGGACCACGCAGCCGTCATACCGCTCAGGAAGGAGACACGTTCTGTCTCCTAGAGATTAACGTACTTTGGTGCGAAAAGTGCAAATCAATCCCAGAACAACAGCAAAGGACCTTGTGAAGATGCTGGAGGAATCAAGTACAAAAGTATCTATATTCGCAGTGAAACAAGTCCTATATCGACATTACCTGAAAGGCCGCTCAGCAAGGAAGAAGCCACTGCTCCAAAACCGCCATAAAAAAGCCAGACTACGGTTTGCAACTGCACATTGGGACAAAGATCGTAGTTTTTTGAGAAATGTCCTCTGGTCTGGTCTGATGAAACAAAAATAGAACTGTTTGGCCATAATGACCATCGTTATGTTTGAAGGAAAAAGGGGGTGGCTTGCAAGCCGAAGAACACCATCCCAACCGTGAAGCTCAGGGGTGGCAGCATCATGCTGTGTGGGTGCTTTGCTGCAGGAGGGACTGGTGCACTTCACAAAATAGATGGCATCATGAGGAAGGAAAATGATGTGGATATATTGAAGCAACATCTCAAGACATCAGTCAGGAAGTTAAAACTTGGTCGCAAATGGGTCTTCTAAATGGACAATGACCCCAAGCATACTTCCAAAGTTGTGGCAAAATGGCTTAAGGACAACGAAGTCAAGGTATTGGAGTGGCCATCACAAAGCCCTGACCTCAATCCTATAGAACATTTGTGGGCAGAACTGAAAAAGCATGTGCGAGCAAGGAGGCCTACAAACCTGACTCAGTTACACCAGCTCTGTCAGGATGAATGGGCCAAAATTCACCCAACTTATTGTGGGAAGCTTGTGGAAGGCTACCCAAAAAGTTTGACCCAAGTTAAACAATTTAAAGGCAATGCTACCAAATACTAATTGAGTGTATGTAAACTTCTGACTCACTGGGAATGTGATGAAATAAATAAAAGCTTAAATAAATAATTCTCTCTACAATTATTCTGACATTTCACATTCTTAAAATAAAGGGGTGATCCTAACTGACCTAAGACAGGGAATTTCTACTAGGATTAAATGTCAGGAATTGTGAAAAACTGAGTTTAAATGTATTTGGCTAAGGTGTATGTAAACTTCCGACTTCAACTGTTTATTCCACGTTATGGCCGACTCACCTCAGATGCGGCTTCCTATCACATCACTGGCCTGGGGAGACTACTGTATGTGGCAAACCTGACACACAAACAGAGAGAAAACCTCAAAACTGTGAAAGGGGGAGGATTAGGAAATGATTGATGACAATCCCAGTCAGAGGAAGAGTGAGGAGAGACATGGCAGACATGACAGACAAAGTGAGCTGACAGGGGAGATAAGAATGCTATGGACGGTAACTATCATGTCTGTTATTCTAAGCATAGGGAATGAAGTCTGTAGACTAACCTTTCCTCTTTGTTTCAAATAACAGCGCAGCCTTTGACCTGACTGTGAGGTTGTCTGACAACTGAAGACTTTGTAATATGGATGCCATACTCCACTCCTGACTCTATTGCTTACCCATAGGGTTTCAAAAATCTGGGTTTGGCGGATGCCAGGAGAACGCTACCTGCCCCAATACATAGTGCCAACTGTAAAGTTTGGTGGAGGAAGAATAATGTTCTGGGGCTGTTTTTCATGGTTCGGGCTAGGCCCCTTAGTTCCAGTCCAGGGACATCTTAACGCTACAGCATACAATGACATTCTAGACGATTCTGTGCTTCCAACTTTGTGGCAACAGTTTGGGGAAGGCCCTTTCCTGTTTCAGCATGACAATGCCCCCATGCATAAAGCGAGGTCCATACAGAAATGGTTTGTCGAGATCAGTGTGGAAGAACTTGACTGGCCTGCACAGAGCCCTGACCTCAATCCCATCGAACACATTTGGGATTAATTGGAACGCCGACTGCGAGCCAGGCCTAATCGCCCAACATCAATGCTCTTGTGGCTGAATGGAAGCAAGTCCCCACAGCAATGTTCCAACATCTAGTGGAAAGCCTTCGCAGAAGAGTGGAGGCTGTTATAGTAGCAAACCGGGGACCAACTCCATATTAATGCCCATGATTTTGGAATGAGATGTTCGACGAGCAGGTGTCCCCATACTTTTGGTCATGTAATGTAGATTGGGGGTAAGGCCCTGTGATAGACTAGCGTCCTGTCCAGGGTGTGTACTTGTACATTAAACTGCCTCACGCTACAGAAACAGGCTCCTGCTCCTATGCACCGTTCAGGCTCGTGCAAGGCTTGTTTTACTTACCCTGGTAGGTCTGCTGCAACCCTCCAGGACCAGGCAGTCTGGTGCAGGTGAGTCATGAACACTCACAGTAGGGAAGTGGGACACTGTGTGCTATTGGTCAGCATTGTAAAACCAGGATGTTCAAGTGGTCAATATGAATCATCTGCTCTGCATATAGAATTTGCTGCCATGTAATGTAATTTTCCTATGGAAAAGGGAACGAAAGCTACACATAGACATGTAGTGAGTAGTGACATAGGCTTTCAGAGATGCAGGCCAATTTAGGGAGTGTGTGAAGAGAACAAACAGCACAGAACCCATACTGAGATTGCCTGACTTGTTTTTAACAGCCCATGAGTGTTTATCAAACTTGAAAAAGATCCACCGTGGCTGAACTCCGACCAGCAAAAAGGAAGTTCCCTCCTAGTGCGTGGCGTGAACTTGGCTCCAATAAAAGCATCCGTTTGCCACCACGGTGCAGACAACACAAAGCCTTTGTTTACCACAAAACATCCCCTCGGACGAGTCTGGAGGTACGACCCTTCAGTTTCCCTTTGCAGCCAAGCCCCATATAGGAGCCATGGCGGAACCCAAATGGACATACAATAGCTGCCATAACACCCGCACACAGAGAGGCAAACAACAGATGTGTATATACAGTACCAGTCAAAAGTTTGGACACACCTACTCATTTTTACTATCTTCTACATTGTAGAATAATAGTGAAGACATCAAAACGATGAAATAACACATATGGAATAATTTAGTAACCAAAAAAGTGCTAAACAAATCAAAATATATTTTAGATTTTAGATTCTTCAAAGTAGCCAGCCTTTGCCTTGCTGACAGCTTTGCACACTCTTGGCATTCTCTCAACCAGCTTCATGAGGAATGCTTTTCCAACAGTCTTGAAGGAGTTCCCACATATGCTGAACACTTGTTGGCTGCTTTTCCTTCACTCTGCGGTCCAACTCATCCCAAACCATCTCAATTGGGTTGAGGTCGGGGGATTGTGGAGGCTAGGTCATCTGATGCAGCACTCCATCACTCTCCTTCTTGGTCAAATAGCCCTTACACAGCCTGGAGGTGTGTTGGGTCATTGTCCTGTTGAAAAACAAATGATAGTCCCACTAAGTGCAAACCAGATGGGATGGCGTATCGCTGCAGAATGCTGTGGTAGCTATGCTGGTTAAGTGTGCCTTGAATTCTAAATAAATCACTGACAGTGTCACCAGCAAAGCACCCCCACACCATCACACCTCCTCCTCCATGGTTCACTGTGGGAACCACACATGCAGAGATCATCCGTTCACCTACTCTGCGTCTCACAAAGACACGCCGGTTGGAACCAAAAGTCTCAAATTTGGACTCATCAAACCAAAGGACAGATTTCCACCAGTCTAATGTCCATTGTTCATTGTTTCTTGGACCAAGCAAGTCTCTTCTTCTTATTGGTGTCCTTTAGTATTGGTTTCTTTGCAGCAATTCGAACATGAAGGCCTGATTCACGCAGTCTCCTGGGTCGGGTTAAATGCGGAAGACACATTTCGGTGGAATACATTCAGTTGTGTTGACTAGGTACCCCCTTTTCCCAAGTAGTTGATAAACAATTAATTGTTAATTTATAGATAGTTATAAAAGTTATAAACAGTTATAACACATTGGTTAGCTGTAAGCTATCGTTAAACTAATAATTAACAGTTTATTAACTAAATATTCACGTATAAAGTATACCTTAATGCAGTATTTCTCAATCCTGGTCCTGGGGACCCAAAGGGGTGCACATTTTTGTTTTTGCCCTAGCACTAACACACCTGATTCACATCGAAATGCTTGATGATGAGTTGATTAGTTGGATCAAGTGTGTTAGAAATGTACACCCTTTTGTCCCCAGGACCAGGATCAAGAAACACTGCCTTAATGTAAAGTGTTACCCAATAAGGTTTACAAAACCATTGAAGTGATAAATTCATAGATGATACAAAATCTGTGTTTCAAGTGTGCCTTAAAATCAATTCAAGCAATACAACTGTGTACTGGTACTCATTCTAAACATGGAAGAAATATCTGAGCTCGAGGTGCAGTAGGTGAGCTTGTACGTGTGGTACCTGAGATCAAGTTAATTTTATCGCATTCCATTGAAATGTCTGTAAATGAGTGAGAAGTCAATTAACAGATTAATTAAAAGCGGTATTTGATATTTTCACGTTTCTTTGGAGACTTTCATTTCTTATCAGTAGTAGTACGTTTCACAGTATTTGTGTGATTCCGCCCCATAGTAGTAGTTGCAGCACATAATATGACAGATTTTAGGATTGAGTGCTCATCAAATTGTCGTCAACAACAAACCTCTACCTCTGTTATTTACAGCAGAAAGCCAAACAATTTAATCATTACGCTCCATCAGTATTAATTAGTCATAAAAATGAACACATCGATACAGAATTACGAGTGTTACGGGTGAACCTCTGTTCTACCAAACACTATGCGCTCCATATAATTTTCCTTGAAGTCAATCATCATCCATATCCTTCTCCTCGGTCGGGGGTTCCGGTGGCAGCGTGGTTCTGTTCCTGGGGGTTCTCCTGCGGTGCCGTCGAGGCCGGGCCTCTGAAAACCAGTTGGCAAGGGTCATGGCAACGCGGATGAGGCCCAGGTTGATGCAGTGCACCTCGGAGGTGACGGGGATGTCTGAGAAGAGGACGTGATCCCTGCATAGCAGGGCAGAGCTGTCACTGCTCTCGAAGTCTCTGACTATGTTCAGGATCTCCTGGCGCTCCGCCTGATGCATCATCCCCCGCACGTTCAGCAGGGTGGAGATGTGCTTCTTCCTGCAGGGAGGATGAAGGGAGGGAGAGAGGGGGAGGAAAGGGAGGGAAGATAGAGACTGGTGTTAGTGCGTTTCAGTGGTTTTGATGCTGATTCATGATTCAATTATGCAGAGCAAAGGGCCATGACTTATTATGTTCAGTTGATCTATTGATAAAAGATAATGTATATTTCACGCCAATTGGACACGATTCAACAAAGATGTGACAAAACCTTAATTGTCTTCACCCGGTACATGTTTCAATATGAACAAGGATAAGTATTTGTTCACAAAGCAATGAAGGGTGGGGTGAAGCTGACCGAGACAGTAAACAAAGGTGGTAAACAGTGGATGGGGGGGATGAAGGGCTGATGTAGGAACTAATGGGACATATGGGGGAGTCCCAGTGGTGAACTGCAGACTTTGATCTCCGAAAATACCAGTTGCGAGCAAGAAAACAAAAGGCAGCTACTTGCAGGCACTCCTTGTGCCTGAATGAGTTAAGATCGTATCGACCTCCTCTCGCTCCATCATTTGATTCCAGAGCATGGCACCAGACTGTCTCCCGCAGGGTGGTAGGAACAGGAAATACTCCGCAGCAGCTTCCTGTCTCCCGGGCCACGCATCATGCGTCACACATTGGGTACGCTGCCAGCTAGCCGGCCAGCAGCTCACCCCACGAAACACACAAACAACGAGGGGCCAGGGACAGTACCTTGTGAGGCTCCCCAGCCTCTGCCACTCAAAACATCCCCTTGGTCCTCTCCAAGAATAGCAGGGTTAATGTAAGTATGTTTCTGTGCTTCTTTTCCTTGTGTTGACCCATTGTGTCAAAAGAAAGACTACACTGAGTGCACAAAACATTACGAACACCTGCTCTTTCCATGATATAGACTGACCAGGTGAAAGCTATGATCCCTTATTAATGTCACTTGTTAAATCCACTTCAATCAGTGTAGATGAAGGGGAGGAGACAGGTTAAAGAAGGATTTTAAAGCCTTGAGACAATTGAGACATGGATTGTGCATGTGTGCCATTCAGAGGGTGAATTGGCAAGACAAAGGATTGAAGTGCCATTGAACGGGGTATGGTAGTATACTAGACGCATCGGTTTGAGTGTCTCAACAACTGTAACATTGCTGCATTTTTCACGCTCAACAGTTTCCCGTATGTATTTAAGAATGGTCCACCAACCAAAGAACATCCAGCCAACTTGACACAACTGTGAGAAGCATTGGAGTCAACACGGACCAGCATCCCTGTGGAAATTTAGGCTGTTCTGAGGGGAAAGGGGGGTGCAATTCAATAGTAGGAAGGTGTTCCTAGTGTTTTATACACTCAGTGTATATGTGGACTTGAATTGTGCACCTTTGTCTACACGCCAAAAACAGCACTTATGAAACTGCACCGTGGAATGTAGGTTCTGTGTACTGTGGCATTGCATATATAGGAAATGGTGACCAATGAATGACACTTGGCAAATTCGTTCACTGTATATCATTGTTTCCCAACTCTGGACTTTCTAAACACTGCTCTATACTGTATTCCCCGAATGATTGAAACCTTTACCGTATGTCTGGAAACTCCTTCACCAGAACAGCAACCTCCATCTGGATGGACGGAGTGTCCTCCAGTAGAATGATGTCAGCCAGATGAGCGAGGACACTGTCCAGCCAAGAGGATCCTGACTCCTGAGAGAGGAGATATAAGATCAATCATCATAAAAATGTGTAACACGAATGGCCACACAGAAACATATGAAAGCATTTGAAAACGCATACATTTTTCATTGTCCGTTTTTGTCCTTAAAAGGTTTAGCTCATTTCATTTTTCTGGACCAGTTGCATACTGTAAGTACAAAGGTCAATCATTTCTGTTGTCCATTAGCCATCAACGGATGACTCCTATTGAAAAACGATTATCTCAATCCATAATTTTCAGACAAAAGATCTCTCTGTGGACATACCCACAGACATTAAAGGAAAAATCCACCCAAAACCACTAATTCCTTTAATGTACAGTGTTAAATATCACTAATATGTGAGAACAATGTTTTTTGTAGACAAATGTTTCATTTTGGCGTTATAATAAGGTTGGTAGCAACATGGAAAATTGTTGTGGAAATCTGTTGCAGCTCAAATCGACTACAAAATCCACAATGCAATGCTCTCTCTATGGGCTGACTGGCTAGCTAGCTACGTAGCTAGTTAGCTAGCAAACGTAGCTACACACAATAATACCAAAGACAATATTAGCATGTAACGTAGATAGTTAGCTGCACTATCAATTTAGAACAAATATTTTCAGAAATATGAGATAATTCACTTGCTATGTGTAGTATTGTATAGCTTTGGAATCGTGACATTACGTACTTAAGAAGAAAATAAACACGTTTCTCGACACATACACTGATATTGAGAAGGGATTGCGTGACGATTAGTTTAGCAACTGCGTGACACAGCATGGCAACGTGAACGCGATTGGTCGACAGTCTGCTGGGTGGGGCGTTATACGGTTCGTCATTCATTGGATTCCTATCTCCTTTCTATAGTATCGCTGACAACAGCACCATGCAATGCACCCTGGACTAAAGAGGCAGACAAATAGGAAAAATGGGCTAGACGCTCCGTTAAATTACACATTTCTCAAGGTAGGAATATCGCAAAAAATATGATCAATGGCTCACTCGAGAGAAGACATCATCCCGAGTTATGACATCGGCCAGTATTGAAATCTGACATGTATGATAGACGTTTTCGCGATGTAAAAGTCGTATTCCTATTAACTTCCAGTGTAGTGAGAGAGACTTTGTTACGGTGCTACGTCAAACGGCCGGATTTCTGCCTGCTTGAACGCCAATAACTCAGATAACATGAAAACATGAAATGACCCAGGGAATCGATAGAACATCTATCAGAGATGCACAAAAACAATATAATATTCAAAATGGGTGAACCTTTACTTTAATACCAACATCATGCACCAAAATCCATGCACCTTAGAATAAAAGGTGTTATCTAGGACCATAAAGGGTTATTTGACTGCCCTTGTTGGAAAACCCTTTTTGGTTCCAGGTAGAACCCAAAGGGTTCTTTAAAGGCCCAGTGCAGTCAAAAACGTATTTTCCCTGTGTCTATATACTGAACAAAAATACAGTGTTGGTCCCATGTTTCATGAGCTGAAATAAAGGATCCCTGAAATTTTCCATACGCACAAAAAGTGTATTTCTCTCAAAATCTGTGCACAAATTTGTTTACATCCCTGTTAATGAGCATTTCTCCTTTGCCAAGGTAATCCATCCACCTGACAGGTGTGGCATATCAAGAAGCTGATTAAATAGCATGATCATTACACAGGTGCACCTTGTGCTGGGGACAATAAAAGGCCACTCTAAAATGTGCAGTTTTGTCACACAACACAATGCCACAGATGTCTGAACTTTTGAGGGAGCGTGCAATTGGAATGCTGACTGCAGGAATGTTCAATTATCTACCATAAGCCGCCTCCAACGTCGTTTTAGGGAATTTGGCAGTACGTCCAACTGGCCTCACAACCGCAGACCACATTAACCAATCCAGCCCAAGACCTCCACATCCAGCTTCTTCACCTGTGGGATTGTCTGAGACCAGCCACCCGGACAGCTGATGAAACAGGAGTATTTCTGTCTTTAATAAAGCCCTTTTGTGAGGAAAAACTCATTCTGATTGGCTGGGCCTGGCTCCCCAGTGGGTGGGTCTGGCTCCCAAGTGAGTGCCCAGTCATGTGAAGTGAGTGCCCCTGCCCAGTCATGTGAAAATCCATAGATTAGGGCCTAATGAATTTATTTCAATTGACTGATTTCCTTATATGAACTGTGACTCAGTAAAATCGTTGAAATTGTTGCATGTTGCGTTTATATTCTTGTTCAGTATATATTTAGGCTACACACTATGAGGTTGGAATAATACTGTGAAATTGTGAAAATGCTGATAATGCCCTTTTAGTGTAAGAGCTGTTTGAAAAGACTGCTGGTGACATCCCCGGGCAGTAAATTAGCTAATAGACCAATAAGAAAGAGAGTTACAGTTTTCCCCTCCCAACTCAGATCACTCCCAGACAGTCCTAGGTAAATTGCTCTTTGCTAAGAAGCTATTTGTTTTATATATTTTTTTACCATTTTAATTGAGAGCAATCACAGTAAGGTACTTAATTGATACCCAGAAATTATTTGATATTGAGATGAAAACGGCTGCATTGGACCTTTACCACCAGAACCGCCATAGGCCAATGGCCACTGACGTTTGATTTTGTAAATAAATTAAAAAAAAACGGCTAAGAAAAAGTCCTGCTCCTTTCCTGACTTTTTCTAAATATTTGTATTTTACATGGCTCATTTGTCCGAATTTTTAAATCACAAACAGAAAAGTATTTAGAGCCTTTTTACCTGTTTTTTTTCTCACATCTATTCCCAACTTAACCAGCCAGGCGCTAATGTGTCTCTCTCTCCTCACTGAATGACTGAACGACAAATGGATGGATGGGAGATAATTGTGCACATTACTTCACAATTTTATTTAAATTAGGCTCAACTGAATGATAAGGAGGGTGAAGAGGTTGATTTAATTTAACGAGTTTGTGTTATGTCTATTTATCAGTGTTGGCACTAATGTTTATAGCAAATAATTTGACAGCGCACCTTGCAGGTTGATATCATTCTCTTTTACGTTTTAGAAGCTGTTACGGGACTGTTTTATTTACTATAACTCTATTACTAAGCAAAGTTATTGTAAGGGAAACGAAACATGCTATGTGTTGCTGTAGGCCTTTAGAATAATGCAAACATACCCTTGACGCTATCCGAGTTGATGAGCAAGGGGAAGCAAACATGCCAGTCAGCCTGCGCAGCCGGCCTATATAAACTACGCCTAAACTATACCGAAACTAATTTCACACATAAGAGTCAGCCTAAAGACATGATTAAATTGACAATAGTCTGATGAGTGACTATTATGGGTTGTCAAATTGTACATGAAGAGATAGGCGCAGCTTGGAATTGGCAGATGCAGGGAAAGGAGCACCACTTTATCAAATCCTCCTTCAGAGTCACAAGCAAGTAAAACGTTCTGATTTCTATATAGTATCACTTTTTCCAAGAATATCCACACTGTCCATGCATTCAGCACATGCCCACTCATGCAACCAAATTGCTCTGGCTAATAAAAACAAAGACTAGGAACATAATAAACTTAAAATATGCTTTTCAGTTGTTTTCTTATTTCCACAGTGTTTCTTTAGATCTGCCAAAACAAAATTATAATGGATTTGTTTGTGATGGATTTAACTCTTGAACTGGTGGTTTTTTTTTTTTTTTACTTTTAGCCTAGAGTAACATAATCTAACGAAAATACTATTATGTTCTTTGAAATAATAGTTTTTTAGTATTCTAATGATACCTAAGACCTTCATAAACACAACCAAATTATTATTCTTCCGAAAGCATATATGAAATCTAGGTTCTATATATTATCCTATTTATTAGACTGTTGGAATGTTAATGCGTCATTGGCTTGAAGTGGTGTCGAAAATAGGCTATAGGCCAGGGATATTCAACTCTTACCCTACTAGGTCCGGAGCCTGCTGGTTTTCTGTTCGAACTGATAATTAATTGCTCCCATTTGGTGTCCCAGGTCTAAATCAGTCCCTGATTAGAGGGGAACAATGAAACAACTATTGTCTTTAGGCTGACTCTTATGTGTGAAATTAGTTTCGGTATAGTTTAGGGGTAGTTTATATAGGCCGACTGCGCAGGCTGACTGGCATGTTTGCTTCCCCTTGCTCATCAACTCAGATAGCGTCAAGGATATGTTATGTTTTGCATTATTCTAAAGGTCTACAGCAACACATAGCATGTTTCGTTTCCCTTACAATAACTTTGCTTAGTACATTTTTACATTTACATTTTAGTCATTTAGCAGACGCTCTTATCCAGAGCGACTTACAGTTAGTGAGTGCATACATTATTTTATTTTTCATACTGGCCCCCCGTGGGAATCGAACCCACAACCCTGGCGTTGCAAACACCATGCTCTACCAACTGAGCTACATCCCTGCCGGCCATTCCCTCCCCTACCCTGGACGACGCTGGGCCAATTGTGCGCCGCCCCATGAGTCTCCCGGTCGCGGCCGGCTACGACAGAGCCTGGATTCGAACCAGGATCTCTAGTGGCACAGCTAGCACTGCGATGCAGTGCCTTAGACCACTGCGCCACTAAATAAAACAGTCCCGTATCAGCTTCTAAAACGTAAAAAATAATGATATCAACCCACAAGGTGCGCTGTCAAATTATTTGCTATAAACATTAGCGCCAAAACTGATAAATAGACATAACACAAACTCATTTAAATTAAATCAACCTCTTCACCCTCCATATCATTCAGTTGAGCCTAATTTAAATAAAATTGTGAAGTAACGTGCACAATTATCTCCCATCCATCCATTTGTCGTTCAGTCATTCAGTGAGGAGAGAGAGACACATTAGCGCCTGGCTGGGTACCAACGTCCTACAGCGCATTGTCTTGGCTGGTTAAATTGGGAATAGGTGTGAAAATAACAGGTAAAAAGGCTCTAAATACTTTTCTGTTTGTGATTAAAAAATTGTAAATATAAACATTTAGAAAAAGTCAGGGAAGGAGCAGGACATAGCTTTTTCTTTGCCGTTTTTTATTTATTTACAAAATCAAACGTCAGTGGCCATTGGCCTATGGCGGTTTTGGTGGTAAAGGTCCAATGCAGCCGTTTTTATCTCAATATCAAATCGTTTCTGGGTATCAATTAAGTACTTTACTGTGATTGCTCTCAATTCAAATGTTTAAAAAAATCAACAAAAATAGCTTCTTAGCAAAGAGCAATTTAGCTAGGACTGTCTGGGAGGGGTCTGAGTTGGGAGGGGAAAACTGGAACTGTCTTTCTTATTGGTCTATTAGCTAATTTACTGCCCGGGGATGTCACCAGGCAGGCCAAACCTCCATCCCAGCAAAACAAGCTAAAATTTCAGGCAGTCTTTTCAAACAGCTCTTACACTAAAAGGGCATTATCATCATTTTCACAATTTCACAGTATTATTCCAACCACATAGTGTGTAGCCTATATACACTGCTGAAAAAAATAAAGGGAACACTTAAACAACACAATGTAACTCCAAGTCAATCACACTTCTGTGAAATCAAACTGTCCACTTAGGAAGCAACACTGATTGACAATAAATGTCACATGCTGTTGTGCAAATGGAATAGACAACAGGTGGAAATTATAGGCAATTAGCAAGACACCCCCAATAAAGGAGTGGTTCTGCAGGTGGTGACCACAGACCACTTCTCAGTTCCTATGCTTCCTGGCTGATGTTTTGGTCACTTTTGAATGCTGGCGGTGCTTTCACTCTAGTGGTAGCATGAGACGGAGTCTACAACCCACACAAGTGGCTCAGGTAGTGCAGCTCATCCAGGATGGCACATCAATGCGAGCTGTGGCAAGAAGGTTTGCTGTGTCTGTCAGCGTAGTGTCCAGAGCATGGAGGCGCTACCAGGAGACAGGCCAGTACATCAGGAGACGTGGAGGAGGCCGTAGGAGGGCAACAACCCAGCAGCAGGACTGCTACCTCCGCCTTTGTGCAAGGAGGAGCAGGAGGAGCACTGCCAGAGCCCTGCAAAATGACCTCCAGCAGGCCACAAATGTGCATGTGTCTGCTCAAACGGTCAGAAGCAGACTCCATGAGGGTGGTATGAGGGCCCGACGTCCACAGGTGGGGGTTGTGCTTACAGCCCAACACCGTGCAGGACGTTTGGCATTTGCCAGAGAACACCAAGATTGGCAAATTCGCCACTGGCGCCCTGTGCTCTTCACAGATGAAAGCAGGTTCACACTGAGCACATGTGACAGACGTGACAGAGTCTGGAGACGCCGTGGAGAACGTTCTGCTGCCTGCAACATCCTCCAGCATGACCGGTTTGGCGGTGGGTCAGTCATGGTGTGGGGTGGCATTTCTTTGGGGGGCCGCACAGCCCTCCATGTGCTCGCCAGAGGTAGCCTGACTGCCATTAGGTACCGAGATGAGATCCTCAGACCCCTTGTGAGACCATATGCTGGTGCGGTTGGCCCTGGGTTCCTCCTAATGCAAGACAATGCTAGACCTCATGTGGCTGGAGTGTGTCAGCAGTTCCTGCAATAGGAAGGCATTGATGCTATGGACTGGCCCGCCCGTTCCCCAGACCTGAATCCAATTGAGCACATCTGGGACATCATGTCTCGCTCCATCCACCAACGCCATGTTGCACCACAGACTGTCCAGGAGTTGGCGGATGCTTTAGTCCAGGTCTGGGAGGAGATCCCTCAGGAGACCATCTGCCACCTCATCAGGAGCATGCCCAGGCGTTGTAGGGAGGTCATACAGGCACATGGAGGCCACACACACTACTGAGCCTCATTTTGACTTGTTTTAAGGACATTACATCAAAGTTGGATCAGCCTGTAGTGTGGTTTTCCACTTTAATTTTGAGTGTGACTCCAAATCCAGACCTCCATGGGTTGATAAATTTGATTTCCATTGATCATTTTTGTGTGATTTTGTTGTCAGCACATTCAACTATGTAAAGAAAAAGGTATTTAATAAGATTATTTCATTCATTCAGATCTAGGATGTGTTATTTTAGTGTTCCCTTTATTTTTTTGAGCAGTGTATATACTGAACAAGAATATAAACGCAAAACACCAGTCTCAGCGTCAACAGTTAAAAGGCGACTCCGGGATGCTGACCTTCTAGGCAGAGTTGCAAAGAAAAAGCCATATCTCAGACTGGCCAATAAAAATAAAATATTTAGATGGGCAGTCTGAGATATGGCTTTTTCTTTGCAACTCTGCCTAGAAGGTCAGCATCCCGGAGTTCGCCTCTTCACTGTTGACGTTGAGACTGTTTTTTTGCGGGTACTATTTAATGAAGCTGCCAGTTGAGGACCTGTGAGGCGCCTGTTTCTCAAACTAGACACTCTAATGTATTTGTCCTCTTGCTCAATTGTGCACCGGGGCCTCCCACTCCTCTTTCTATTCTGGTTAGAGCCAGTTTGCGCTGTTCTGTGAAGGGAGTAGTACACAGCGTTGTACAAGATCTTCCGTCACTTGGCAATTTCTCGCATAGAATAGCCTTCATTTCTCAGAACAAGAATAGACTGACGAGTTTCAGAAGAAAGTTCTTTGTTTCTGGCCATTTTGAGCCTGTAATCGAACCCACAATTGCTGATGCTCCAGATACTCAACTAGTCTCAAAAAGGCCAGTTTTATTGCTTCTTTAATCAGCACAACAGTTTTCAGCTGTGCTAACATAATTGCAAAAGAGTTTTCTAATGATCAATTAGCCTTTTAAAATGATAAACTTGGATTAGCAAACACAACGTGCCATTGGAACACAGGACTGTACGCCTATCTAGATATTCCATTAATAATCAGCCGTTCCCAGCTACAATAGCCATTTACAACGTTAACAATGTCTACACTGTATTTCTGATCAATTTGATGATCATTTTTTTCTGCTTTTCTTTCGAAAACAGGGAAATTTCTAACTGACCCCAAACTTATGAACGGTAGTGTATTTAGTAAATATTTTTAAGAAATCATATTTTTCTTAAAACTGCATTGTTGGTTAAGGGCTTGTAAGTAAGCATTTCACGGTAAGGTCTACACCTGTTGTATTCGGCGCATGTGACAAATAAAATGTGATTTGATTTATGCACTCTTTATCAATCGTTGGTGCTTATGTTTGCACACCTTGCGGGTTGATATGCATCTGATGCGTATGCTAAAGGAGACCAGCAACGTTCTCTAGCAGGTACTTATAGGCTGAAAGGCCAGGCGGTTCTAGTGTTAAAGCATACTACATTTTCTAAATGTCACATACTATAAAACATACTTTTTTTGCATATCCAAAATGCCTACTATTTAGAACACAAGTATGGGTATTCGGACATGGCCCTGGTCTGATGTACACTAGGGCCCTGTCTAGCCATTGCATTGTCAATGAAACACTGAATTCAGCAGTTTTTTTATTAAGTAGGCAAATATCACTTAAGAGATGGATATCTAGTCAATTTCTACACAGTAAATATTTTACTACCCTCTGGACTCTCGATGTGGTGGGTTTTCAGAATAAATTATTACGCTGATTGACAGGGAATCCCAATGATACCGCACCTGGCACGCGGACAGGACCTGACTTGAATGGAATACAATAATACATAAAAGATTGAGGCTGCACTGAGACACAGGACTGCTGCCTCAGCTCATTCAGTGTGTGTGTGTGTGTGCATGTGTGTGTGTAGTTTCTGTGTGTGAGCATGTGTGTGTGTGTGTGTGAGTGTGTGTGCTGGGACACAGATTAGTGTTTTAATATGGCCATGTGTCTTGTGTATGTCACACTACTTGAACGAGAGAAACAGATCATGCTCTCCTGACTTCCTGGTTTAAGTCATGTTATAACAGATATGTTCAGTAGCCACATTTTTGTATTTATTTTTTAAATAATCCCCAAAGGAAGACTTCGCTCTTGCTTGTCAGACTATGGCTCTGATTTCACGTACATTCAAGCCTTTTAAATACCCTTTAGTTTACAACCCATCTCTAGCTCTTTATTGAAGCACAACTTCGACTAGTATTTGAGCTCAGTTTGAAAACCTGATTGATTTGGTCTCTTTTTATCTCCGTTGCCGGTGGTAAAAAGCAGGCCTTCTACATTTCAAAATGCGTTAATTAGACAAATCAGAGGAACACTGCTGTTCTGTATCTAAGGCCGTCTACCAATGGGATACGCACATCACTATCTGGAGTCGGTCGGTGTGGTGATTGTCTCACTGAACTGTAGCGAAGCTTTCATCCCGCTGATATTCATAAGCATCATAACGATTGACTTAAATGGAAAAAAAGGCTGGAGCTTCTCGCACCATTTGTAAATATGCTCTAAAGTGGCAAGAGCGTCAAAGGAACTGTCCGGGACTGTATGGGGAAAATGGTTCTAGTGTTAAACGTTCTTTGTTGAAATGGTTCTACCTGGAACCAATAAAGGTGTCTCATACAGGGACAGCTGAAGAACCCTTTATGAATAATTTTTTCTAAGAGAGTACTTTTTTTGTGAGCTGTATGTTTTTCAGACCTACTTTCTCAGAAAGAAAGACAACAGCGTGCAGTGTGCTAACACAGCTTAACCTCTCCATCCACTAAAAATAGCCTCTTCCCTTTTAGACAGCGATTATAAACGAATTCAACCCCCAGTTCCCACAGATGCCTCGTTCTGCTTCTCAAGCGAAAGGCCATCAAGGCTACCCAGAAACACATCAAAGTCTTCCAGCTGACAGGAACAGGAAGTTCCACAGAACACAGAGACTTCCTGTTGTCAGCCCGAGGTGACAGACATTTGTTTGAACTGGCTCTCGGAGAGGGGCAAATGCCATGCTGGCAGACCCAGTTCCTCACAATCTCCCACCCCCTGGCTAACACTAACGTAGGCCTGCACTCATTCATCTCCATCTCGCTGACAGTGGCCATTCTTCAGCCTTCTGCCCCGTATCAACACTGTCTGAGTTATGCCTGACCTGGCGACCCCCAGGGTCACGGCACCATTCGTAACAGACAGGCCTCTGCATTCCTCAGCCCAAGTCGTTTTGTTTCATCTTTAAAACAATATATTTTTAAAATCTGCTTCTAAGTGATTTTTCAGAACAAGGTCAATGAAGAGTATAGGGAAGTCATCTGTTTATTTTTTTTAGATAAACCGATCAGACGTGAATGAAGAAAGAAAGTGTCAGAAGTGTAGAAAGAAAGTTCAGCTCAACTGTTACGATAAAGGTTTCTCAGTGGAAAGACTGACAGGGTCTGCCCTATGTTCCCTCAGCACCTCAGCATTCACTTAACCAATTTCAAACAAAATTGGCACAAATGCGTATCGTATGCTGTTAGAGGTCTGTTATAAATGCACGCTTAGGGTTTACCAAACAATTGTTGGGAGTGTTAAGCTTAATCGTCTTACTGCGTTCAGATAGTTGTTCCTTTTCAGTCGGTCACTCTGTATAACATGCTATGGGGAGTCAACGACCAATCCTATTCACCTGAAGAAAACTGAAAATGAAACGGGCCAATGGATGCCGGGACTCGAGATTCAGATTCAGCTCCGACTTAGGTGTCTGTTAGTGGGGAGAGCGTACTCGTCCCCCTAGATATTGCGAGTTTTGGCTCTTGGTATCGTTTTTTCTGTTTGCTGAAAGCTTGGGAAAGAGGGCCAGTGCTAAGAGTAAGTTCAAAAAGGCTAACCAGATGATTTGAACCTCCAACCGTGCCCTAGGGCATGTGGTTTCACAATGAAAAGTAAAGATACTCGCGAGTGCAGTCCTGTTTGCCTGGGGTGGAAACACACCCAGGAGGTTTTCCGGGAGAGAGCAGCAGCGGTGGTTAGAGTTGATAGGGTTTTCATCCCAGCTGAGTGAGGCTCATTCCGGTTTCTCAGGCAGTGTTCAGACTCCAGATTCCAGGGATGATATACTATCCCTGGTTGGCTCTGGAGGGTTCTCAGAGTCTGAATCGGATGACATCAGTACAGGGAGCCTAAAGCCCTGGTTTTGGATTCAGCGGGGGAGAGTGAACCATTGGTGGTTAATGAACCTTTGATGGAGCTGTGTTGTAGGATGGCAGATCACCTGGGGTGGATTGGCCGTCTTCTCCCCCACAGCGGAGTTCCTCCAGGTTTGGGGGAAGGTATTTACCTCCTGTCCATGCAGCGGTGAAGCGTCGCTTACCCGTTTAAAGATTTTGCCGATGACCTGGGAATCCCCTCATTCAACCAGGCTGGTGCTACCAGGTTATGGTGAGCTCAATAATGTAGAGGGTATGGAGGAGGCAGGGTTCATTTACACACTGCCGATTGATGGAAAGCTGGCACGTTACTTAGCTCCAGAGGCTAACAAGGGGGCTAATTCTAGCACAGTGCTTCCAAATACACAGTGCCGGTTCTCGGCGGATCAGCTGGACAAAATATACCAGGCTGAGGGTGTGACGGCCCTGTCGTTGAATGTGGTCACAATGCTGCAGATGTATCATATCGATTTGCTGCAGGAGCTAAATAAGACCGTGGAGGCGTGGAAGCCGGTTTCAGAGCTTCTCGATGAAATACATGCTACGGCTGATTTTGTGCTGTGTCTGTCCCGCTGTACTATCCTGGCAGTGGGGGGAAAGTATGGGGGCGATGGTGGTTGCTCAGTGGGGCCCTCCTCCCCAAGCATTTACTGTGGCAACAGTGCTTCTAAGAGGCTCGGTCAATGGGGCAAGTCCCCGAACCCGGTGTGGGCTGGGTATCAGAACGGAGGTACCAAGAAAGCACATTGTTTCTACCCAAGATTCGTTGGTGATCAGGAGTATTGACAGTGTGTTATCATCCAGGTGTGGGCATAATAAAACCAGTTCCTTCCCCACATTCAGACACACGGTTGTCAAGAGTGGTGGATATGAAAACAAGCATGATTAAAAAAAAGAATATCCAAGTCCTCAGGGTGGCGCTCTGCCTCTTCAGGAGATAAGGTATGGGAGACTGGCAGCATGCTCTGTCCAGTGGTGGGCATGCACAGTTTCATCATGGTGATGAGGGGGTACAGGGGTTCTTCATTTTCATGTGGCTATACATCCTCCCCACAGAAAGTTTCTGAAGTTTCATTTTGAGGGTGTGCCCTAAGTTTCTGGTCCTGCCTTTTGGGCTCTCCCTATCTCCCCACACCTTTTCTATGGTGGTGGAGGTGGCTTTGGCACCGGTGCTGTTCCAGGGGATCAGAGTATTGGCATATCTGGACGATTGGCTGGTCGTAGCGGAATCGAGGAAACAGGTGGAGCTCCACACTGCCATGCTGGTTTCTTATATTCAGTCTCTGGGGTTCATAGTGAATCACAGTTGTTTGACTCCAGCTCAGCGCATTCAGTTTCTGGGTCTCGTTCTGGACTTGCGTTTTTATCCCAACAGTGAAGGGTAGCATTCCGGCTCTGTCTGGCAGTTTCAGCTTGGGCACTCAGTGTATTTTTGCTTGTGCCTATGGTTATTGGGTCTGATGGCCTCTATGATAGCTGTGGTGCCTCTGGGACTTCTGTTGATGCTTTTGTATTAGTGCTGGGTGACTTCTACGCGTCTGGACGCATCTCGCCACTGCCATCAGCTGCTCAAGGTATCCCAGTCATGCCTAAGGGCGTTGATTCCTTGGAGGGACTGTTGTTGCAGGGGGTTCTCATGGGCCGGGTACTGTCTCGCAGGGTGATCACAACCGATGCATCCTTACTGGGATGGGGAGTGCTGTGTGTGGGCTGCTCAGGAAGAGGGATTTGGTCAACAGCGCAAAGGGCGCTGCATATCAATTACCTAGAGCTACTGACTGTTTCTAGGGCTGAGCTGTTTCCTTCCGATGTTGGAGGGCCAGCATGTATTGGTAAGGTCCGACAACAGGACGGTGGTGGCGTACATCAACAGACAGGAGGGGATGCAGCCTCTCTCTCTCTTAAACCTGTACCATTATCTGTTCGTATGGAGCAGTGCGCATTTCCTGTTGCTTAGGGCGATGTATCTTCCCGGATCTCTCAACATGGGTGCGGCTCTGCTTTCCAGGGGGTGGTCCTATCTCTACAGAGCGGAGACTGCACCCCTCGGTGGTTGCCCAGATATGGGACCGGTTTGGCAGGACTGACATAGATCTTACGCATCGCGAGAAAACATGCATTCTTGTCTGTTCTTCTCAATGATGGATCTAGACGCTCCATTGGGAACTAACGCTTTGGCGTATCAGTGGCCTCAGATCCTGCTCTATGCGATGGTCCATCAGGAAGGTCTGTTGTTGATTCTGGTGGCTCCCCGTTGGCCCAGACAACCCTGGTTCCCAGAGATCATCCGCCTGTTGGGCAGGGACCCTTGGAGGGTTCCGTGTCATCAGGTCTATGGTCCCAGGCACACGGTAAAGTTTGGCACCCACGACCGCAGGGGTTTGGCTCCTGAAAGGTTAAATCTGATGGCTAGGGGTTTACCCTCGAACGTGATTACGACTATACAGTCGGCTGTCATGTAGGGATTGACGGCTCTACCCCGGGGTCTCATCCTCTGGTTGAGTGGTTCCTAAAAGGCTTGCGTCAACTCAGGCCAGTGTCTAAGCCTATGGCACGGACCTGGCTATGGTCCCAGATGCTCTGTGTGAGCCTCCGTTTGAACCATTGTAGTCTGTGGACCTGAAGGTCCTTTCCTACAAGACTGCCCTGCTCATGGCCTTGGCGTCTGCCTAGTGAGTTGGGGATTTCTACGTGCTATCAGTACAACCCTTCCGTGCTTTCGAGCTGTTCCCTTTCTCACCTCCTCCAATGAACAATGGAGGTTGCATGGCCTGTGTCTGGTGCGCGCTTTACGCACGTACTGTATATGGATAGGACCAAGGATATCTGTGTTTGTGACCAGCTTTTTGTCTGTTTCGCTAATCCAGCTCGGGGTAGGGCGCTTTCTCCCAACAAAGGACAAGGGTTGCCTAGCGGTGTGCGTGCTCACGCCACTAAGGGTGTGGCGACTGCTTGGGCATTGTTCAGGGGCATGACGATCGGTGATATCTGTGCTGCAGCAAGTTGGGGTTCCCGACATACCTTCGTGAGGTTTTATCGCTTGGATGTAACTGCTGTGAGTGTTACTGTCACGATCGCTTAAGGAGGAGGACCAAGGCGCAGCGTTGCGGGTGAACATATTTATATTTATTGACTAGATCACACGATCAAAACAAAGAACGAAACGTGAAGTCCTTCGATAAACAAACCAAAAGGAACAAGAAACCACAAAACACAAAGTGCAAGACAAACAGTTAAATATGGCTCCCAATCAGAGACACCCAGCTGACACTCGTTGCCTCTGATTGGGAGTCACTCAGACCAACATAGAAAATTAAACATAGACTTACACACCCTGGCTCAACATAACATAGTCCCCAGAGCCAGGGCGTGACAGTACCCCCCCCCAAAGGCGCGGACTCCGGCCGCGCCAAATAACCACAACAGGGGAGGGACCGGGTGGGCACTCCGCCTCGGCGGCGGATCCGGCTCCGGACATGACCCAGGCACGGGTTGTGCTGGACTGACGACGCACACCCCTGGCTTGATGCGTGGAGGAGGAACGGGCCGGACCGGGCTGACGAAGCGCACCCCTGACTTGGTGCGGGGAGCAGGAATGAGCCGGACCGGGCTGACGACGCGCACCACTGACCCGGTGCGGGGAGCTTGGACGGGCCGGACCGGGCTGGCGACGCGCACCACAGACTTGGTGCGGAGAGCAGGAACGGGCCGTGCCGGACTGACGACGCACACCACTGGCTTGGTGCGGGAAGCTTGGATGGGCCGGACTGGGCTGGCGACGCGCACCACAGACTTGGTGCGGAGCGCAGGAACGGGCCTGGCTGGGCTGACGACGCACACCACTGGCTTGGTGCGGGGAGCTTGGACGGGCCGGACCGGGCTGGCGACGCGCACCACAGACTTGGTGCGGAGAGCAGGAACGGGCCGTGCCGGACTGACGACGCACACCACTGGCTTGGTGCGGGAAGCTTGGATGGGCCGAACTGGGCTGGCGACGCGCACCACAGACTCGGTGCGGAGCGCAGGAACGGGCCGGGCTGGGCTGTCGACGCACACCGTAGGTTTGGTGCGGGGAGCAGGAATAGACCGGACCGTACTGGGGACACACACCACTGGCTCTACACCGGGATCTGGAACGGGCCGGACCGGACTGGCAACACACGCCAGTACCTCTCGCCGTGCCTCTACACCTTCCATCCCCTCTTCTACCAGTGGCCCCCGTAACCTGGCGGCCTCCTCTGCAACCCCGCTGGTCCGCTCCATAGCGGCCTCCTGCTGCCCCGACGTCGTGAGCCCCCCCCTAAAAAATTTCTGGGGGTCTCTCCTCCCCGTGGACCAGGCCTCCAACATTCTCGCCCACCTCTCGCTCCTCTGTCTCCAACCCTCGTCACTCAGCTCCTCAATGGGCTTGACCCAGTCGAAGCTGCCACGGAGATCTATTAGCGATGGCTCCTGGACACGCTGCTTGGTCTGGTCTTGGTGGTTTCTTCTGTCACGATCGCTTAAGGAGGAGGACCAAGGCGCAGCGTTGCGGGTGAACATATTTATATTTATTGACTAGATCACACGATCAAAACAAAGAACGAAACGTGAAGTCCTTCGATAAACAAACCAAAAGGAACAAGAAACCACAAAACACAAAGTGCAAGACAAACAGTTAAATATGGCTCCCAATCAGAGACACCCAGCTGACACTCGTTGCCTCTGATTGGGAGTCACTCAGACCAACATAGAAAATTAAACATAGACTTACACACCCTGGCTCAACATAACATAGTCCCCAGAGCCAGGGCGTGACAGTTACGCAGCGCGCAGGTTGTGCATTTATCCAGGTTACCACAGTACCCTGTGGGTTTTAGCCTTGGGCTGCCGTGGCAGCGCACAAATATACAGTTTCCAGGTTACAGCAGGTTTTCTGTGGGATTGAGCCTCGGGCTGCCGTAGTTCATCAACTCTGGTCAATGCTATGCAGCACGTCTGCACTTTACCAAGTCACAACAGGTGGTCTGTTGTTTTGGACATTCGGTTCCTTGTACGAGTTCTGACATTTCAGGCTTGCAAGGTAAGTATTGTTTTTGGAACCATGGGGTCTATGGACCTGGGCTGCAGGGGAATCATGTAAGTGTGTATAGCCAAGTTGCAGCAGGTTCTGGTTCCCTATATGGGGCTCTGACAGTTCAGACTTCTCGGGTAAGTATTAGGGGAAAAGGTGGCTTCTGTACCCCCTTTTTGAGGTGGTGGAACCTTTGTGCTTGGGCTGCCCTGGGCATCCTAGTTTGGTACCCTCGAGAGATGGCTTGGGGCATGATTGTATGTCCCCATAGTACACTACATTACCAAAAGTATGTGGACACCTGCTCGTCGAACATCTCATTCCAAAATCATGGGCATTAATATGGAGTTGGTCCCCCGTTTGCTGCTATAACAGCATCCACTCTTCTGGGAAGGCTTTCCACTAGATGTTGGAACATTGCTGCGGGGACTTGCTTCCATTCAGCCACAAGAGCATTAATGAGGTCGGGCATTGATGTTGGGCAATTAGGCCTGGCTCGCAGTCGGCGTTCCAATTCATCCCAAATGTGTTCGATGGGGTTGAGGTCAGAGCTCTGTGCAGCCCAGTCAAGTTCTTCAACACCGATCTCGACAAACCATTTCTGTATGGACCTCACTTTGTGCACAGGGGCATTGTCATGCTGAAACAGGAAAGGGCCTTCCCCAAACTGTTGCCACAAAGTTGGAAGCACAGAATCGTCTAGAATGTCATTGTATGCTATAGCGTTAAGATTTCCATTCACTGGAACTAAGTGGCCTAGCCCAAACCATGAAAAACAGCCCCATACCATTACTCCTCCTCCACCAAACTTTACAGTTGGCACTATGCTATCGGGCAGGTTGCGTTCTCCTGGCATCCTCAAACCCAGATTAGTACGTCGGACTGCCAGATGGTGAAGCGTGATTCATCACTCCAGAGAATGCGTTTCCACTGCTCCAGAGTGGTGAAGTGTGATACACCACTCCAGCCAACGCTTGGCATTGTGCATGGTGACCTTAGGCTTGTGTGCGGATGCTCGGCCATGAAAACCCATTTAATGAAGCTCCCGACTAAGAGTTCTTGTGCTCAAATTGTTTCCAGGGGCAATTTGGAACTCGGTATTGAGTGTTGCAACCGAGGACTGAGTCGTTTTTACGCGCTATGCGCTTCAGCACTCGGCAGTCCCATTCTTTGAGCGTTTGTGGCCTACCGCATCGCGGCTGAGTTGTTGTTGCTCCTAGATATTTCCACTTCACAATAACAGCACTTACAGTTGACCGGGGCAGCTCTAGCAGGGCAGAAATGTGACGAACTGACTTGTTGGAAAGGTGGTATCCTATGACGGTTCCACGTTGAAAGTCAATGAGCTCTTTAGTAAGGCTATTCTACTGCCATTGTTTGACTATTGAGATTGCATGGTTGTGCGCTCAAATTTATACACCTGTCAGCAACAGGTGTGGCTGAAATTGCCGAATCCACTAATTTGAAGGGGTGTCCACATACTTTTGTATATATCGTGTATGTTATAACGAGTGACTGACTGAAAGGGAACATAAAGTTATGAATATAACTACTGTTCGCTGAAGGAGGGAACAAGGTATAACACATTTTGGCCCTGCGCCGTCAGGGGTTTTGGGCTCGCTGAAGAGCGGTACTGAATTGAGGAAATAAATGCAAGCCCCGGTATTATAGCCAGGAAGGCGGGGCTTCCAAGGGAGGGCTTGGCATTCATTGGCCCGTTGGGCGAGATTTCAGTTTTCTTCAGGTGAATTAGATTGGTCGTTGACTCCCCATAGTTTGTTATACCCTGTTCCCTCCCTCAGGGAACAGTAGTTATATTCATAACTATACGTTTGTGGTCATTATGACCATAAATCAGAGGGATGACTGACCAGGTCTTTGAAGAGTCCTTTGAGCTGCTTGGCCTCGTCCTGAAGTCGGAACGCCATCCTCTTCCTCATCTTCGATGATGTGCAGATGATCCGTCCTCGCATGATCGCACGCACATACTCCACCAGGACCCGCCTGTGTACCTCCCCTACCAGTATCTGTCAATCAAATAATCAACTAATCAACCATTCAGTCCCTCAATTGCAATATAAGTGTTGATAAACAATGAATATTGGGATAAAAAGGGCAAATATGTATTATTTTATGTATTTCCCGCAACATGTTATCGTGTCAGTTATGTGGTCATTGGTGGATACCTGATAAGGTGGGCAGTCCATTCTTCTGAACTTCTTAAAGTGTTGCTTGATGCTTGCTTCGATGGCCTCAAAGGCCTCAGTGTTGTTTAGCCACTTCCTCTTCACCAGCTTGTCACAGAACGGCTGGAATAGAAATGCACAGCTTTCATTCACATGAACAGCTTCTCCTATTGCAAAACATTTGTGCTAACGTTAGAGCATGTTTGTTTGTGTTTGATCAGTCATGAATAAGTGTGGACTTGGTGAGTTGTGTATTGGGGAAGGAATGTTTCGATAAATTTATAAATATTTTGTATCGATAAATTGTAAGGAAAACAGTTTTACCACTCTACCAAAAGAGGATGTAACACTTTAAAAAGCACATTGCCTCACCCTGATGTGCTCAAATAGTTTTTCTGTCAGAACCCTCCCTGATTGGTTAACGATCCTGTCCAGGGAGGAGTTAGCGCTCTGTGTGGACTCCTCACTGCCCTGTGGGTCACACTGCCTGCAGCGCCGTACAAAGGACCTACACAAAAATTGGAATGCAAACACTGTTGGTCTCGGAATGATCGTATTTCTGACATGTAAAAACCATTTGAACCATTTACAACCTTAATCATGTGGATAACCTAGTTTGACCATGTTAACTTTAGCAAGATAGTTAACTTATTATTCACAATGTTAGCAAGTTTAGCTAGCGGGCTGGATTATCTAGCTAACTCATTGGTCTATGTACTTGAATGCTCTCTTGTCGCATTTACGACTTCACCAACTGGAAAATACACGTTTTCAATGAGCATTTGAATGGAGCATCAGTCAACACAGTTGCCACAAGAGATGACTTCTCTGTCTTGGTATCTACCTCAGAGGAGGACAACAGTTGACCAGAGCGATGGTCCTGGAGATGTATCCATCACCCCGGTCCCCAAACTCAGCCTGGGTCTCATGGAACATCTCCACTTTTCTCTGGAAACTGGACACACAGTAACATTATGAAATTAAATCCATATATCGATTTACATACAGGTTGTTGATTGAATATACTCATTGTCCATGTCTCTATAAGTACATCTTCTCCTCACCTGTACAGGAAGTCAGACAGTCCATTTAGACTGCAGCGGGCCACCCTGGCCCCCAGAAACGGGCTTACAGTTGTGGATCTGTCCAGGTCCACCTTCAGTCTCTGTTACAGCCACACACATACACACTGATAAGGGTAGGAACTTCAAAATCCAACCAGCCAAAATAGGTAATTCCTGAATATTCATGGGAGATTTACAAATGTCTTAGAGTTCTTTGCCACAATGTCCAATTTGGACATTCTGGTGTCACCATACTGGCTTGGTAATTGTGACCTACAGATATACTGTACAGTAGTGTCTCTGAGTGACAGTGTGACAGACCTGGATGATGGAGCGGGCCAGATTGGATTGGTACTCCTCTACGTGCAGCATTTGGGCCCACCGCCTCTCCTCCTCATCCAGAACCTGAGTGAGCTCTGTGGTCACCTTCTCCTGAGATAAACAACAGAACCCACACAACCATGAAGTCCACTGTCTATCCAAGCATAGGCAGTTCCATTACCATTAGATTAGTGCCAGAAACATTACCTCTATCAGTGGGAAAGTTGTCACCTGACAGTGTTCAGTATTAAAGGAAGTATGATTTTACCCTGACAGTGTTCAGGCAGTCCTGTTCCAGTCGGTCCACTGTATCTCGATGCAGTAGGGGTTCCAGTGGGGAGTAGTTAATAGGGGTTTTCGTGCCAACGGTGCCCAGGACATCCCTTGAAAAGATGAGAGGGAAAGTGAAGAAGTGCTACTGTGTGTCACTATTCATTAAAGTCTCACATTTCAGATCTGATTGAATACCTGTAAAGATCTATATGTTCATATACACGTACATGGACTTACTAAATGTTCTTACAGTGCCTTCGGAAAGTATTCAGACCCATTGACCTTTTCCACATTTTGTTAGGTTACAGCCTTATTCTAAAAATGATTAAATTGTTTTTTTTTCATCATCAATCTACACACAATACCCAATAATGACAAAGCAAAAACAGGTTTGTATACATTTTTGCTAATTTATAAAAATAAAAATAAAGAATATATTTTATGTAAGTATTCAGACCCTTTATTCAGTACTTTGTTGAAGCACCTTTGGCAGCGATTACAACCTCAAGTCTTCTTGGGTATGACGCTACAAGCTTGGCACACCTGTATTTGGGGAGTTTCTCCCATTCTTCTCTGCAGATCCTCTCAAGCTCTGTCAGGTTGAATGGGGAGTGTTGCTGCACAGCTATTTTCAGGTCTCTCCAAAGATGTTCGATCGGGTTCAAATCCGGGCTCTGGCTGGGCCACTCATGGACATTCAGAGACTTGTCCCGAAGCCACTCCTGCGTTGTCTTGGCTGTGTGCTTAGGGTCGTTGTCCTTTTGGAAGGTGAACCTTCGCCCCAGTCTGAGGTACCGAACGCTCTGGAGCAGGTTTTCATCAAGGATCTCTCAGTACTTTGCTCCATTCATATTTGCCTTGATCCTGACTAGTCTCCCAGTCCCTGCTGCTGAAAAACATCCCCACAGCATGATGCTGCCACCACCATGCTTCACCATAGGGATGGTGCAAGGTTTCCTCCAGACATAACGCTTGGCAATCAGACCAAAGAGTTCAATCTTGGTTTCATCAGACCAGAGAATCTTGTTTCTCATGGTCTTAGAGTCTTTAGGTGCCTTTTGGGAAACTCCAAGCAGGCTGTCATGTGCCTTTTACTAAGGAGTGGCTTCCGTCTGGCCACTCTACCATAAAGGCCTGATTGGTGGAGTGCTGCAGAGATGGTTGTCCTTCTGGAAGGTTCTCCTATCTCCACAGAGGAACTATGGAGCTCTGTCAGAGTGACCATTGGGTTCTTGGTCACCTCCCTGACCAAGGCCCTTCTCTCCTGATTGCTCAGTTTAACCGGGCGGCCAGCTCTAGGAAGAGTCTTGGTGGTTCCAAACTTCTTCCATTTAAGAATGATGGAGGCCACTGTGTTCTTGGGGACCTTCAATGCTGCAGTCATTTTTTACAGACAACTCCTTCGACCTCATGGCTTGGTTTTTCCAACTGTGGGACCTTATATAGACAGATGTGTGCCTTTCCAAATTATGTCCAATCAATTGAATTTACCACAGGTGGACTCCAATCAAGTTGTAGAAACATCTCAAGGATGATCAATGGAAACAGGATGCACCTGAGCTCAATTTCGAGTCTCGTAGCAAAGGGTCTGAATACTTTTGTAAAAAAGGTATTTCAGTTTTTTATTTTTAATAAATGTACAAAAATGTATAAAGATCTGTTTTCGCTTAATGTTGTTATAATATGAGTTCTGACACTGACCTGTTGTAGATGTTGTAGAACCAGTCCAGCAGGGAGTAGACATCAGTGATCTGCAGCTGGGAGCTGGTGATGATGTTCAGGCGTCGGACCACCGCCCGGTGGTAGCTCTGCACGTACACCTGGAAGGCCTGGAACTCCTCCGGGTAGACCGACACAACGTTCCTCCGCGCCGCATCAAGGTCGTCCACCATGCGGCCCCTCAGCCGCTCCAGGTACGAGGCTAGCTGCCCTGCCTGAGTTTTCACCTGCTGGGGCAGGCTCCAGTCAGATGCCTCCCCCACCGCCTGCCGCCATTTCAGCTTGAACTGACGAGGCCGCTGGCTAGGATGGGGCTGGAGGTCCTCCCTCAGGGGCTGGGTCTCCTCTTTCTGTGCCTGGGCGGTGTCGGCCTGCTCCTCCTGCTGGATGACCAGCACCACCAGCCCCAGTTTGGGCCCGGCCGTTGGCTGTCGGAGGGACTCCCTCACGACGTCCCACATCTCCTTCTGAAGGGCCTCGTACAGCAACTCCACATCCTTGGCCTTGCGACGGCTGGCGTCCCGTGACACATTGGGGCTGGAGGGGTCGTCGAAGGACCCGTGATGGATCACTCTGGGAAGAGTGGATGGAGGTGTGGGGGGGTGGGGCAGGAGGGCCATCAGCTCGTACTCACGCTCCAGCTCCTGGATGTGTGTGTCGGCCAGGAGGAGGTCCCTCTGGTTGACCAGCTGCAGGATCTCCAGAACTGAGGGAAGAGAGGGAAGAAGAGAGAGAGGAATCAATGTCATACTGTTTAGTCTATTGGTTTGTACAGAGTATTACTGTATGGGTATAAACGTGTGGGGTAAGTGAAGAGAAAAAGGCTATATTGTGTGTGAAATATCAACATTGACAAATTGAAGGGTGGTGATATGTGTGATATTGAGTATCTCTTGACCTGGCATTTTGGATTGTTGTGAACATGCAATGTACTACACTGTCCTTTGATTGTCCCTTGTCTGTTTTGGTCCATATTGAGCTCCACGAACAGTAGCTCTGGATGTAGATCTATCTAAAGGGATCTGCAGTGGGAGGAAGTCAGTCATTTCCGTCTTTCACAGTCTGGTGCTGATTGAGCCCGATGACTCGGGGTCCGGGGATTGCTCACAGCTCATCAGAAAGCAGCGTGGGATTGGGGGAAGAAGTACTGCAGGACCTGACCAGGAAGTTCCTGACTCGTAAAGTAAACACTGAAACTTACAAACACTTACTGTTGGAGGTCTAAGGTGCTCATGCCACAGACAGAAGTAACCTGCACTGACCCTTCCATGATTCAGATGTTTCAGATTAGGTGCGCTGTGATTGGTTGGACCTGCAGGAAACATACCATATCTCCCCTCCCGATTGGTTTGTTTTGGAGCGCCTTGTATACCTGAGAGAGGTTCCCTGGGTATTACCACTGGTGGCTCCTCCTCCAGCTCCTCCTCGGTCTCCTGGGAGTTGTGGTCCGACAGGGACTCCCTCTTCAGCTTGGCAAGGCTGACCATCCTGAGGAAGGAGGGACGGTGGCAGGACTCAGCCTCGCTGTCGGTGCTCAGGTCACCACAGGGCAGGCTCTCTCTGTGCTGCGTCTGCTTCCGCCGCCCTGCAAATCTACAAGCAGAAGAGAACCATCAGGAGAGGATCGGAACTATATTATGTCACAGTAGGACTTTGAAGGGCAAGAATGGCTATGTGTGGATTCCCAGAGTCTGAGATATTGTGTGGAAATTAAGGTACCATCTAAAATATAAAGGGAATGTGATACATAATTGTTACCAAATACTGTAGAGTTCAATGTTAACATGTGACCACCATATCTAGACTAGGCATCATATGCAATAAATAAGCAGGTATTTAAATGCTTGAGAGGTGATTGTAGCTCTAAGCATTCCAGATTGGTATATTTGATTGCTGGCTCTACCTGAGGGCAGCAGTCAAAGTGAAAACAATGTTTATAAATAGTGCTTAGGTACACACCATAGTATTAGCAAACAAAGGCAGTTCTGTGCATTAACATGGTAACTCATGGAAAATTGTTATATTACATAACCAATTAGGAAATGATTATGCTATATGCTGTGAGCATTTCCGTCATTTTGTTACGGCTTGATAGGGGGTCTCAGTCCTACCCGGTAACAGGAAAATCAGTTTGCCGGGATTGGATAGCCAAGCAAATCAGTAATTAAAGGAACACAACGAAAGCTCTTTGGTCTAGACATGACGAATTAAAATAGTTTCTGAGTCATATTATATATAGAGATTACATTTATGTTAATCTGTAGCTCTGAGCCCATATTTATAAAGCATCTCAGAGTGGGAATGCTGATCTAGGATCAGGTTCTCCCTGTCCATGCAATCTTCATTGTGATCTAAAAGGCATAACTGATCCTAGATCAGCAACCCCTCCCTCTTACCGGAGCAGGGTCATGATCTCCTCTGAGCTCCTGCGGAGGCCCTTCCTCTTCTCTTTCTCTGGCTGGGGCGAGTGGGGGTCTGTGTGGCATCGCTGGGATGGGCTGGTCCCCCACACGCTGCACCCCGACATACGCAGCCCCTTCCCCAGCTTCCCCAGGGTCTTCAGGGGCGAAGAGCCGCACAGCCGCTCGAGGGTTCCCCTCAGGGGCCTCCCCCCTCCTCCTTTAGGGGCCTCGGGGCCATGCCTCTCCGTGTTCACCTCATTCTCCTCCTCTTCCCCGTCACGTGACGACCTGCGCTGGAAGATTCTTCCTCCACGGACCCCCAAAATGGGGGGGTCACCCTCATTCCTCTCTTCCTCAAGGTCCACCTCCTCGAAGGGGTTCAGGTCCAAGTTTAACCTGGGCAGGATGAGGTCACCATTCCCATGGTTTCTCCCCGGGAGGTTCTTAAGGATAGGCATTAAAATGCTTGTGCTCAGGAATCAAATACTGCAAAGACACAAGGCCACTTAGTTAGAACAGAGAATGAGATCACAGATCATTTGAACAAGCTAGTTAGGCTACCAATACCAAGAGCTCAATAGGAGTGTGCTGGAAAAGGTTGAACAGAAAATTAAAGCTAAAACCAGAATGAATGGGAGAGTAATGTTGTACTCGAAGATCTACAGAATATTCTAATAGCATAGGAACTGTTGCAATTATACTATTCAGTATAGACTTTACTCAGAGCTAAAATACAAACACAGATGTTTACCCAACAGCTCTTTCAAGTTACGACAGTACAACATGTGTTATAGTAATGTAAAGGTAACTGCCAAAATAAAGGAAACACCAACATAAAGTGTCTTAATAGGGCATTGGACCACCACGAGCTAGAATACCTCCAATGCACCTTGTCTGGAACTCTATTGGAGGGATGTGACACCAATCTTCCACAAGAAATGTCATCATTTGGTGTTTTGTTGATGGTGGTGGAAAACGCTGTCTCAGGCACCGCTCCAGAATCTCCCATAAGCGTTCAATTGGGTTGAGATCTGGTGATAAGATGGCCATGGCTTAGGGTTTACATCGTTTTCATGCTCATCCCACCATTCAGTGATCACTTTTGCCCTGTGGATGGGGGTCATTGTTATCATATGGGGGCATAGCCATGGTAGCCAAAATAGTGGCCTGCCCAGCATTTTTATACTTGACCCTAAGTATGATGGGATGTTAATTACTTAATTAACTCAGGAAGCACACCTGTGTGGAATCACCTGCTTTCAATATACTGTGTATCCCTCATTTAGGTCCTCTGTAGCTCAGCTGGTAGAGCACGGCGCTTGAAACGCCAAGGTAGTGGGTTCGATCCCCGGGACCACCCATACACAAAAAAAATGTATGCACGCATGACTGTAAGTCGCTTTGGATAAAAGCGTCTGCTAAATGGCATATTATTATTATTATTATCATTTACTCAAGTGTTTCCATTATTTTGGCAGTTACCAGTAGATATTCAATACAGTACATAATGACTCTCACCTGTACAGTACATTTACAACCACCTGTTTAACCCATGTACATTATGTAGGATCTAATGCTCTAAGATCTTCAATTGTTTTAGGTTTCTGTACGTCTTTAGAGAGCAGTGGTTCAAAGTTACATATAATTCTCATAATCAGTGTTTACTGATTGAACTCACTTGCCCTCCACCAACATATAAGGACAGACAAATAGGTGACCACTATGTATTGAAGTCCTACTGAGACAGAGGCTGTACTAATATGGACACCGTAGACCACCACACATGCTTTGTATGTAGTGCCTAAGTTGGGCATGGTACCAATCATATACTCAGAGGCATGTATTCTTGGATGCCAAGGGAAGCCAGGCTTCCCCAAAAAATTTACCAAGAAAAAAAGAAAGAAAATAATGTATCTTTCGTATCTCTGTGTTTCAAAATAGTCCTTCAATTCGCAAGAAGCTGAATGTATCTCACCGGAGAAAGCATCCGATCGAACTAAACAGTGCCCCTCTGTCTCAGTATGTGCACCGTATCTATCTGATGCTGTCTGGTTCAAAAGAGTAGGACATTGTTGCCACCCGTAGCATTGAATGCAAGGGAATCCAGCGAGCATTTGGCCTCCCTTGGTAAAAAAAAGAATAGACAATCAGCGTTAAGCTAAACTGAGTGAGCTCAGCTGTGAATGGTCCTGGCACACCAAAAAAAGTGTCAAGGGAAGACTGTTTGGATTTGGCTTCAGACTAATCAAATCCCAAGACAAACGTCATTATTGACAGAACAAAACTTGAATGGTTGCATCTCGTTGTGTTGTTGTCCTCCTGTGACTAAGTAGCTAGCTAAAATCGGCCCTTTCCTAAATTAGCCATCGATGGAGATAAGGATTTTTGACTTGTGGTTTTACTTAATTCTCCGTACTGGCCAATGATTATAACAGTGATTCTGATCCAACCATAAATCATACATTGTGCCCCTGGCCTGAGAGGATGGAAGTTCAACATGTAGCTAGATGTAGTATGCTAATGTTAACTAGCTGGCCGGGCGTATCGTTGCCCATGAATGGAAGTTAGGCTAGTGAGCAAGTATTTTAGCCAGGTAGCCTAGGACAACAAAATCGAAACGTGTGTACTGTATGACAGAGTCATAGACTGTTTAGGCAACATGAAAGAGGAGGATGGCATTGGCATTTCTCTACAAGTAGGGTGAGTGAGTCAACCAAATTGAGATGTTTTGGGATGAGTCGGACCGCAGAGTGAAGGAAAAGCAGCCAACAAGTGCTCAGCATATGTGGGAACTCCTTCAAGACTGTTGGAAAAGCATTCCACGTGAAGCTGGTTGAGAGAATGCCAAGAGTGTGCAAAGCTGTCATCAAGGCAAATGGTGGCTATTTGAAGAATCTCTAATATTAAATATATTTGGATTTGTTTAACACTTTTTTGGTTACTACATGATTCCATATGTTATTTCATAGTTTTGATGTCTTCACTATTATTCTACAATGTAGAAAATAGTAAAAATAAAGAAAACCCCTTTTGACTGGTAGTGTTTAAATATATATATATATATTTTATATATTAAATATATACAGTGAGGGAAAAAAGTATTTGATCCCCTGTTGATTTTGTACGTTTGCCCACTGACAAAGACATGATCAGTCTATAATTTTAATGGTAGGTTTATTTGAACAGTGAGAGACAGAATAACAACAAAAAAATCCAGAAAAACGCATGTCAAAAATGTTATAAATTGATTTGCATTTTAATGAGGGAAATAAGTATTTGGCCCCTCTGCAAAACATAACTTAGTAATAATAATAATAATATGCCATTTAGCAGACGTTTTTATCCAAAGCGACTTACAGTCATGTGCGCATACATTTTTACGTATGGGTGGTCCCGGGGATCGAACCCACTACCCTGGCGTTACAGGCGCCATGCTCTACCAATTGAGCTACAGAGGACCACATAATTGTAATGGTAGGTTTATTTGAACAGTGAGACAGAATAACAACAAAAAAATCCAGAAGAACGCATGTCAAAAATGTTATGAATTGATTTGCATTTTAATGAGGGAAATAAGTATTTGACCCCCTCTCAATCAGAAAGATTTCTGGTTCCCAGGTGTCTTTTATACAGGTAACGAGTTGAGATTTGGAGCACAATCTTAAAGGGAGTGCTCCTAATCTCAGTTTGTTACCTGTATAAAAGACACCTGTCCACAGAAGCAATCAATCAATCACATTCCAAACTCTCCACCATGGCCAAGACCAAAGAGCTCTCCAAGGATGTCAGGGACAAGATTGTAGACCTACACAAGGCTGGAATGGGCTACAAGACCATCGCCAAGCAGCTTGGTGAGAAGGTGACAACAGTTGGTGCGATTATTCGCAAATGGAAGAAACACAAAAGAACTGTCAATCTCCCTCTGCCTGGGGCTCCATGCAAGATCTCACCTCGTGGAGTTGCAATGATCATGAGAACGGTGAGGAATCAGCCCAGAACTACAAGGGAGGATCTTGTCAATGATCTCAAGGCAGCTGGGACCATAGTCACCAAGAAAACAACTGGTAACACACTACGCCGTGAAGGACTGAAATCCTGCAGCGCCCGCAAGGTCCCCCTGCTCAAGACAGCACATATACAGGGCCGTCTGAAGTTTGCCAATGAACATCTGAATGATTCAGAGGAGAACTGGGTGAAAGTGTTGTGGTCAGATGAGACCAAAATTGAGCTCTTTGGCATCAACTCAACTTGGCGTGTTTGGAGGAGGAGGAATGGTGCCTATGACCCCAAGAACACCATCCCCACCGTCAAACATGGAGGTGGAAACATTATGCTTTGGGGGTGTTTTTCTGCTAAGGGGACAGGACAACTTCACCGCATCAAAGGGATGATGGACGGGGCCATGTACCATCAAATCTTGGGTGAGAACCTCCTTCCCTCAGCCAGGGCATTGAAAATGGGTCGTGGATGGGTATTCCAGCATGACAATGACCCAAAACACACGGCCAAGGCAACAAAGGAGTGGCTCAAGAAGAAGCACATTAAGGTCCTGGAGTAGCCAGTCTCCAGACCTTAATCCCACAGAAAATCTGTGGAGGGAGCTGAAGGTTCGAGTTGCCAAACGTCAGCCTCGAAACCTTAATGACTTGGAGAAGATCTGCAAAGAGGAGTGGAACAAAATCCCTCCTGAGATGTGTGCAAACCTGGTGGCCAACTACAAGAAACGTCTGACCTCTGTGATTGCCAACAAGGGTTTTGCCACCAAGTACTAAGTCGTGTTTTGTAGAGGGGTCAAATACTTATTTCCCTCATTAAAATGCAAATAAATTTATAACATTTTTGACATGCGTTTTTCTGGATTTTTTTGTTGTTATTCTGTCTCTCACTGTTCAAATAAACCTACCATTAAAATTATAGACTGATCATGTCTTTGTCAGTGGGCAAACATACAAAATCAGCAGGGGATCAAATACTTTTTTCCCTCACTGTATATAACAATGTTTACCATACACTACTGTATAATGCACAGGATTAGGTCATGTACACTTATTATAAAGTGGGACACAGAAGTTTTGTCCAAAAATACCCATGCAAATACATAATATAACATATAATAATGAAAACATACACTCTGTACCAAACATTATGAACACCTACTCTTTCCATGAAATAGACTGCCCAGGTGAATCAAGGTGAAAGCTATGATCCCTTATTGATGTCACTTGTTAAATCCACTTCAATCAGTGTAGATAAAGGGGAGGAGACAGGTTAAATAAGGATTTTTAAGCCTTGAGACAATTGAGACATGGATTGTGTATCTGTGCCATTCAGAGGGTGAATGGGCAACACAAAATATTGAAGTGCCTTTGAACAGGCACACCGGTTTGTGTCAGGAACTGCAACGCTGCTGGGTTTTTCACACTCAACAGTTTCCCGTGTGTATCAGGAATGGTACACC